TTGACCATTTGTATGCGCAGAACAATATAGTGCAAAATGAAATGTGGACATTTAAAAACTGTTTACGCATTTATAAAACTTGTACGCTTGTTGATCGTTTTGGACGCTTTGTTTTGGCGCAGTAGCTGTTAAATCTTAGATCCATCCTGATCCTGTTGGTGCTGTCAGCGGCTGCAGGCTCCCTGGTGGAGGGGAGGCTCATGGAAGCTGACAGGTTGAAAATGTGCGGCATGATGTGGCTGAAGGAGCATGAAACGTGTTCACCCACGGGTGCCATGCACGGCGGCACAAAAGAGACCAAGAGACAATTAAAACAGATTTTTTTTTTTACCTGCATTGGCTGTGTGAAAGCAACAAAACCTGCAAAGAAAGTCTTTAAACTCTTAAATATATTAATGAGTGAGAAAATGTTCAAAGATTGCTTTTTTCAATACTTTTTGTAGAAAAATGCCTTGTTGCTTGTGTGTTCACACCGTTTTTGTACAAAAACGACAGTAAACATTAGTTTCATTGTGTTAAAAAGATTCAGATCTTTCTAAATTGGTTTTATGGGAAGGTTGTAAACTGTTAATAACTTACCTGTTGCAGATAGCTCTTGGAAAAATGTCAGTTTGGAGAAAGAGTTTCATTTGGAACGGATTGACGAGATGTTGGCTAATAGTGAAGCCAAGAACTCAAATGATTCCTGCCGTCTAAAACAACCATCTCAAAAGACTTAATGCAGTTCATGCAAATGTAGTTTTATAAACCCTTGCACCGCTCTCTGTTATTTTGCTTTACGTGGTTACTGCAACAGAAAATGAATGCTATTTTTAGAAGTGCTTCAGGCTGCACTGAAAATAACCATACAAGTTTATGTAACTAATCAAGCGACATGATAAAGACAGTAGTGTAAAGGTTTATTAAACAGTGTTTGCATGAATCCCGGTGGATATTTTAGCATCATACTCAGATTTATTTACTGCCATTCAAACCTCACAGACGGGCTCGGTGTAGCAGAATAAAAGATAATTAAATAATAGACTAAGTTAAGATTAAATAGACTAAGCAAAGGCCAAGTCAGGGTTTTAAATCAATCAACAGCTGCCAACTACCATGGTCCTTTATTTATTTATTTAAAAATAAAAATAACAGAAGTGCCTAAAATTAGGTCAACAATGGCAACTTCTACTAAAGAGCCATTTAGGGAAATCCGTCTACATAAAAAAAATAGATCATTTGAATTTTCTGATACGTATTTACACTCAGATTTGTTGATAAAGTGTGCAAATAAAAGGGCTTTGTTTAAATTGAGTGTTGCTCCCCCATTTCAGGATTGTATATCAATATGTTTGGAAAACTTGTAAACTTATTCAAACTGCACCATTCGATATATAATTTTTTGTTATACCTTTCTTTATGTACGAGGTCATACTTTGCAATGAGCACCTTCGGTGTTAAAATAATATTCAAATGTCTGAATGGTTAGTTTGTCATTTTTAACCTCCGATCTGAGGTCATTGAAGGAGCTATAGGATGCAGGAACAGGTAAGATATTAAGTGTTTGTCCCCTCTCCACAGAACCCCAGTTCAAACGAGTTGAACTGTTGCTTTAACCACAAAAGTATAAATAGAGAAAATGAATTTCCTGCGAAAATGCAGTGTGAATGCTTATAGCAGAAGAAATTGCTGAAAAAAGGCAGAAAAAAATCTTTAAACTACCAGAAGGAGGTGGAAAGAACTGAAATGAGATAAAACAAAATAATAATAATAAAAAAAAAAAGTGGAAGTAGCTGAAAAAAACTAAAATTAGCAAGAAAAGAGCTAAATAGTAGCCAAAAGAGCAGAAAAAGCTATAGCAGACAAAAGCTGAAAGGAGCATAACAAGCTGAAATTAGCATAAAGAAGTTAATGAGGCTGAAAGTAGCAGAAATTAGCATGAAAAACTTGAATTGATATGAAAACAACAGAAATTAGCTAAAAAAAAAAAGGTAGCTGAAAAGGTAGAACAAGCTTAAATTAGCAGAAGAAAGCAGAAAGAACATTTTTGCCCAACAAAGAATCAGAAATGAGCACAAAATAGCTAAAAATTATCTGAAAAAAGCTGAAATTAGCAACAACAAAAAAAAAAAACAGCTGAAACATAGATTAAAAAAGGTAGAAAAAAGCTTGAATTGCTAGAAGGAAGTGAAGAGAGCACATTTTTGCTGAATAAGGCTGAAAAAATATTAAATTAGTGCAAAAAATGTGAAATTAGATGAAAAAGCTGAAAAATTAGCATAAAACAGCTAAATTGTAGCTGAAATAACAAAAAAAGCAGAAACTTGCATAAATAAGCAAAAAGGAGCATAACAAGCTGAAATTAAAAAGAAGTTAGAAGAAGCACAAAATGTTGTATGGTAGTTAGCAGAAAGAATCTGAAAGGAGCACAAAACAGCTGAAATTAGCTGAAAGTAGATGAAAAATGTTGAAATTTGCACAAGAAAGCTGAAAGAAGCTGAAGCAGAACAAAATGTAGAGGGAGCGGTAAAAGGTTGCAAACAGATCGAAAGATTTGAAATATGTAAAATGAGCTCAGTTCATTTTCTATGAGACAAAAAAAGGCAGAAAATGCTAAATATTTCAAAAAGCTAAAGCTGCACCAATACCAAAAGTCATAGCCCCCTTCTCCTGAACGAGCTGAACGTTTTGATATATGCAATCCAACAATTTTCAGTCAGGTCATCTGGACAGTTTCTTTCTTCTTTATTTTTTTGCTGAAACGTTTCACCTCCATCCAGAAGGCTTCATCAGTCAAGGAAACACACAACACAAAACTGATTCTTCCCCCCAAACAGCTTAATCCAAAATGGAACAAACCAGTTATGTTGGTGCTAAGATGGTGTCTTTGGCACGCCCCCTCCTCTGGAGCCGGCCCTCTTCCTCGTCGACAGCCATGTCAAACTGGTTTTCATATATGATTTGTTGAAACAACACAAAACTTGTGGCACAAGAAAGATGCTGAAACATGTACGGAAGAACAAATGGATCACAATAGTGTGAATGCTTCATAAACATTCACACTATTAGAAGTTGTAGAGAAAATAAATGCCTCATGTGTGATCAGACAGAACCATCTCTGAGAACAGGTTTCAGTTTTGACAATCCAAACATTAAATTGTGCATTAAGCCGTTTTAAACATCAGCAGACTTTCCATCAACGTGACTCGGGTGATCTTACCGACATGTGGCGCTGCTGTAAAACCGAGCTGCTTCGTCATTTGTGATTTGTCTAATTCAAACTCTCGTGTCACCAATTTCTTCTGTTTATTTTCTAAGAGAAAGGAGACGGACCTCAGTTTACAGAGAGTTAAAACTGCAGACAGACTGTTATTCATCCATGAATTAAGGTTAAACTTTTATGTAGTTTATTTTAATAAAATCTACAGAGTCGTTGTTTTAATTTCACTTCACAGCGTTTCAAACACAATGACACAACACACTGATGAAAAATCATTAAATGTTGGAATGCACGTTGTTTTCAAACGATCTGTTCATCGTTTAATTAAATCAAATTTGTGTGTACATCTGAAGCTGGCGTGTGGTGACAGTAAAAAATAAAAAAGTCATTTTCTCATAAATAAATGTTAAAACTACACACATCTCATCAAATAAACAAATGTTTTTACATCTCTTTTTTCCCCGTCAGGTCTCTTCACTCAAAAACAAAAACCTTTAACGACATTTAGTGCATTTTACAAAACAATACAACAAGAAACTTCCCCATTTAAAGTTCAACCTCAAATCCTAAAATGTTGGGACGTTGTGTAAAATGTGAATACAGCAGGATGCACTGATTTGTAAATTTCATAAACCATTTCTATTCGCAATGAATTAAACGTACAATTTTTAGAAATAAAAAAGAAATCAGGTAAATTTGTGATTTATCTTAGCAACTCGTTTAAAAAAATATTGCTCCAGGTCCATGTTTCCCTGTGATGTGAAGCATCCCCTCTCTTCTGTCCAGGACCAGTGCAGACCAGTTGCTGGAGTTTTTGGATTGAACTCTGACCCATTCAGGTCCAACAAAGGATTCTAGCTGTTCACCAGACCTTCTGCTTTAGATTTTTTTTTGCTGGGTAGGAGCATAAATTGTTCTAAAACTTGTATACTTTTTAAATTAATGGTGCCTTTTCAGATGTAAGTTGCTTGAGGCACTAATGCACGCCCATACCATCAGAGAAAAAAATATTTAGCACGGTGGATGTGGCATCTGTGGCTTCCAAATGTCTATTCATTGGACCACAGGACAGTTCTCCACTTCGCCTCAGTCCATTTTAAATGAGCTTTGGTTGAGAGAAGACGGTGCCAGTTCTGGTTGGTGTTCCTGTGTGGCTTCTTCTCTGCGTGATAGAGCTTTAAGCAGAGTTTTGAGGATGGCACGGTGAACTGCGATGATTTGTGGAAGTGTTGCTGAGCCCGCGCAGAACAGAACCAGGCCTGTTTTAGATGCAGTGACGATCGCTGACTTTCAGCGATTCCTTTTGGAGATTTTTCAGATTCTTGAAAGCTTTTGATGAGATTTAAAGTAAATAATGGGATTTTCAAAGTCGTCCCAGTTTTTTTTAAAGGAACATTATTCTGAAAATGTTCCACCACTTTTAGAGTTAACTGGTGAACCTCTGCTCATCTTTATTTATGACAGATCAGTCTCTCTAAAATACACTTTTTAAATCCAGTCCTCTGACTGGCCTGTTAATAATTAACCTAGTTAGTTGTAAAATGCTCCTCCAGCTCTTTACAGCTTTTTGTTGACTTTGTCTCCATGTTTTAACATTGTTGCTGCCATCGAATTCAGTTATCTTTTTTTTAATGTAATGTAGACGTTGATATGTGTACCATCATTCGTTGTGAATAAAATATGGATTTATCAGATTTATTGCATTCTGTTGTTCACTTTTTACACAACATCCCAACTTTCTTCAGAACTGGAGACAGAGCAGAACCTTCTACACACAAACTGCTCAAACCTCTTTCTGTCGTCAGACTTTGTAGTAGATGTTGGTTGGACTCTGAGGCATTATCTCCTGAACTATATACACAGGAGCCCCGTATTCACCGCTCACGCGCTCGTAGTGACGGCAGATCATGCTGTCAGAGGACCGCAGAGGGAAGACGACGTTGCTGCGGTCTGAACCGTTGTCACTGCTGATGCTGTCCCGCTTCGGCACAGTTAAGGTGTCGAGGGACACGGCGGCAGGCTGCTGCTGCCTGACGGGTGCACTGCGGCGCTGGTGGTACCTCCACACCACCGACAGGACGACGACGACGAGCAGAAGGACGACCACACAGCCGGTGATGACCCACACGAGGAGTCCTGGCTCAGAGACACCACTGGGACTGGACTGTCCAGAGTCTGAGCCCAAATCTGTCCCGAGACGTGGAGGAGAGGCAGAAAGAGTCAGAGGAGGAACAAACAGGGATGTGTGGCAGTGATTTATTAAAAACTTTGTTGTGATTTTTGACCTGATACGTCATTAAAATTAGAAGCATCTTTTTTTGTAAGTGATGCAGAAAACTGGTCGATTTATCTCTTGAAGGCTGGAATGTTGTAATTTATTATTGAAATGTGCAAATGAGAGTTAAGAGGGATGTGAAAATATGATGCAATCGGCTGGCTTCTTTATATAAACACTTTTTACTAAATGATATTTCATAAACTACTGTACAAGTAGTCCCTCGTTTCACGGGTGATCTGTACCCTGAAGACCTGAGATAAGTGAAAAACCGCAAAGTAGGAATAGTAGTACAAGTAGTAGTTTATTTTAGTATACAGTATATATATATATATATATATATATATATATATATATATATATATATGTGAAGACATTTTTAACCGCACACTCTTGCAATATTCTAAACAATGTTTCTAAACTCTAAACGCTCTAAAAGAGCACAGAATGTCAGGATTTCAGCTGCCTCCTCTGCTCTTTGCCACCTGCAAGTGTTTTGGCCACGCCCACTTCTCCGCTCTAAGAAGATCAGCTGATCAGCTGCAGCAGGAAGTTTGTCCTGCAGTATGGGCTGCACAGAGATGCAGCAGGTGCTAAATAATTTAAAATAATTTATTTTAAATAAAAAAGTTCATGCTGATCGTGCAGCTCATCCATCAATGAGCCAATTGTGTGTCATGTCCAATCTTATTTTGAAAAATCGTGAAGTAGCGAGGCCGCGATAAACGAACCTCGAGTAGCGAGGGACTACTTTATATGATTGTATCCTATTTATAATAAAGAACTAATTGTCTATAATTGGCTTTAAATCTACGATTAGGACCTGTTTTTTTTCTTTTTGCACCAGCGCTGAGATGACTTTTGTTGTGAATTGGTGCAAAACAAATAAACTTTATTGCATAAGTAACTTTATTATAGCATGCAAACTGCAATCCTGTTGTTATAACAGGAAATAAATTGAAGTTTATGAATGCATAAATATGACTATTCTAAACTTTGCTGCAAAAATAACTCCTCAGGTCAGGCGTTTCCAAATTTTTCAGATTTTAACCCACAAAATAAAAGCTGCGGAGACGAATGAACCCCATTGCAATTTAAAGTTCACAAATATTAAAATACGAGCCTCATGAGTCGTCGTGTTATTGTGAATTTATTGAGGGTTTTATTTCTTTGTAGGCTAAAGATGCTAGTCGTAATTTTTAAAGCTATTATAGAAATCTGACGCTGCTTTGAGTAACTTTTTCTTTGTGTGTGCAACATTTACCTTTTTTATTTCCTTTGGTGGAGGAGTTGGCTTTGGACTTGGGTGGAGTGGGTGGGAACCTGGTTGGGGACTCCTGCAGTGTTGAAAGTGGATCTGAAGAGTCTAGAACAGAGAGCAGAGCATGAGGAGATCAGTTTTTCACCGTGTAGGTGGGCCCAGGTCGAACAATGACTCAGCAGAGATCACTGAAACCACAGTGACGTCCTTCCTGTCGTCAGTCATCGTGTTTCACATCAACCTGTTCAAACAGACGAAAAATGCAAATTTGGCTTTAAAATAAAAAAAAAAAAAACGGAAAAACTATTCAAGTGACAGAAGACCTGCGTTTAGAGTCACAGCTGCTACTTTCATTTTTCTTTGACTGGTAACGAGATTTTCTCCACATGTTTTTCTGACGTGCCGCCGAAGTTTCTTCAAACATAATTTAGGAACAGTTGAAAAGTTTGACATTTTCCTTGGTGGCTTTAATAAAACCTGACAAAAGTCAAACAAATCAAAGCGTTTAAGAGCTGTTTTGAATCTCAGAGGGACTCTGACGGTGAAGGAAACGCTCAAAGCCGAGGCTTTTTATAGCGCCTTAAATTTCTAACTCAGCCACATTTAAAAGGTGAAATCCGCCAAACAACTTGTGCTAAAATTGATAAAACGTCTAAAAAGTTTTTCTTCTCAACACAGGAACGTCCTGCCAGGTGTGTGTTTCTGAACGGATCTCTGGTTCCCAGCTGACTGCGACAGCTTTTAGTTTGTTATTTTGGATCTATTTCATTTGTCTCTTGTTGCTGTCTGTGCCATCATCGCTCATCCTCAGTCAGTTTCTGCTCCTCAGCTCCTGCTCCGCCCACTCTCACCTGTTCCCTGTTGTCATTTTGCCCAGGTGTCCCTCATCTTTTCACTTTATTTGATCCGGCATTGTTTGAGTGCCAAGCCCTGCCCGGTTCACTTCCATATGTCCGTGTGTTTTCCTTCAGTTCCTGTAAGCTGTTGCTACAACGTATTTGTTTTCTCTATTAAAGTTTTAAATTTCTTCTTCACGCTCCTCATGTTCGTCTACTCTCCCGACACTCTGTCCTTTTCCTCCTCCAGGACCAGAGTTTTTAGCGGGTTGTCCTCATTAATCTCCGTTTGCCTTCGCTCATGTTCACCCATTTTACCGATTCCTCACACGTGGTATTTTTATTTTGTTCTGTTTTATTTGTTCTAAATTAAAATATTTCAAACTGGTCTTTTGCGTGCCTTCACTGGTTTGTAGTGGATCGGCTGGTCCAAACTTGTGTTTTGGGCCACAAACTGAAGTTTAAAGTCAGGTGAGAATGATGTCATAAGAATTCAGCTGGTTTGGAAGGGAATCATCAGCTTTTATTTATTTTATTCATCTTTACTTAACCAGGCCAGTGGGAGGAGGAGGAGGGGGGGGGGTGAAAAAAGACCCCAGGTCCAAACAGGGGATTGAACCCATGCCCTTCTTGCTGTGGGGCGACAGTGTTAACCACTCAGCCATAAAGAACCTTGAATTTTGAATCCTTGAATAATGTTTCTAACAAACAAATAAAATGATGAAAGACACTGGGAAAACGTTTATTCATGTCTGAGTAATTTTCAACCTATTTCGACTTAATGTTTTTATTCTTTTACATTAAAAAAAAAAGTATAACGCCGTGAATGAATGTGTATCGCCCGCCTCCTTGCATTCAACATTTTAATCAAAGATCTCTGGAATATTTGATGTGGATGACTCTCAGCTACTACCACACAAACTTTAGATCAATATCTGTAAAATTCAGTTGTGTTAATGTTTATGAAGCTTTCTCACTTTTGTGATCCATTTTGTCTTACACACGTTTTTCAGCGTGATACTTGTCCCGCAGTTTTCAAGCTATTTCAACAAATCATAAATCAAAACGTTCAGCTCTTTCAGGACAATCCTACTTTGACTTTTGGTATTGGTGCAACTTTAGCTTGTTGACATATTTAAGCCTTTTCTGACATTTTTTTCTCATAGAAAATGAATTGAGCTCATTTTACATCCTTCAGTTCTTTAGACCTTTTAATGCTCCTTTCACGTTTTGGTCTGCTTCAGCTTCTTTCAGCTTCCTTCTGCATATTTAAACTTTTTCAGCTAATTTCAGCTGGGTTTTTTTCAGATGTTTCTGCTCCATTCTAATTATTTCTGCTAACTACAACATTTTTGTGCTTCTTCTAACTTCTTTATGCTAATTTCAGCTTAGTTCTGCAAGTTTCAGCTATTACTGCTATTTCAGCTACTATTTATCTGTTTTATGCTAATTTGAGCTTTTTCAGCTAATTCCACATTTGTTTGCACTCGTTTCAACTTTTTCAGCCTAATTCAGCAAAAATTTGCTCTCTCTCTCTTTCCTTCTGGTAATTTAAGCTTCTTTCTGCCTGTTTGCCCACTTTTCAGCAGGTTTTTTTTTTGTTGTTGTTGTTTTTGTTTGTTTTTTGTTTGTGCTAATTTCAGCTTATTTCATATAATTTTCACTTTTTTGTGCTTATTTCTGCTTTTTTCAGCAAATGTGTTTTTCTGCACTCTTTTGATAATTTAAGCATGTTCTACCTTTTCAGCCACTTTTTTTGTTGCATTTTTTTTAGCTAATTTCAGTTGTTTTCAGACAAATTCAAGTTTTCATGGTAACTTCTGCTACTTTCAGCCTAATTAACTAATTTCTGCAAATTTCAGCTAGTTATGCTCCTTTCAGCTATTTTTGGCTAGTTTCACCTTGTTCTGCTATTTCAGCTACTATTTAGCTGTTTTATGCTAATTTTAGCATTTTCAGCTACCGTAATTCCACATTTTGGAGCTCCTTTCTGCTCCTTCTACTTCCTTCTGGTAGTTTAAACTACTTTCTGCCTTTTCAGCTATTCCTTTTTTCTTAATTTCAGCCTTTTTTTTAGTTATTTCCCTTATTTTTATGCTCTTTTCTACTTTTTTTAAACCTAATTCAGCAAATGTGTGTTCTTTCTGCTTTTTTCTGCTAAAGTAGGTTTAGTCTTCCATTTCAGCTATACATTTCAGCATGTTTTTAGATAATTTCAGCTGTTTTTCAACAAGTTCTTCTGCAATAAGCATTCACACTGCATTTTCACAGGAAATGCAATTTCTTTAGTTGCTGTGTTTGCTCAGTTTATTTAGCTGTGGTAACCATCTTGAATAAGGTTAACAGGTGTTGACATACATCCAATGATCATTTTCTAAGGTTTTATTAAACATTTTCTACAAAGTTTAAACCCACCTGCACACAAGCAACAACACAATCATATCTTTTGGTAGCAGGTGATAAACATCACGGCATTTTAGATTGGTGTGAATGTTGCATTGAACTAATACCTTCAACAAAAATCTATAATACGTCCTATGAGTAAACACTAAATAAACTCAAATGAAATGCTCTCCTTTAATTTCATTTATTGCTTCATTAGGACACATTAATCAACACTTCTGCATGTTTTAGTGTTTGCAGCCCAACCAGCTCACTTTAAACGGAAGTCTTTTAAGAACTGCTTCAGCACATTATCATTAATTCACCACCAGCCTTAATAAAAATTTCCGTTTTGCACAAATGTAGAAAATAACCGGCGGAGAGCCGCTGCATCTGTTAATCTAAATCTACTGCAACTGCATCCACTTGCAAACTGGTGGTTTGTAACGTAGACGCAGATTAAAACAAGATTTCAGCTCAGCCGAGTTGCTAAGATTTTCTTGTTTTTATGCTTTAAGAGGTTTGTTTACACCACTAGTGTTTGTAAACACATGACAACCGCTCAGTTATAATCTGCTGGAGAAACGCACGAAATGCAGAATTTTCATCTCCGATGCAGAAGAAATTAATAATTTATACACATAACACTTCAGATTTCTTAGGTTAGAGGAGTACGTTTCGAGCCTGCGACATAAAAAAAAAAAAAAACGAGATTAATATCTGAACATGTGGATTTAACCAAAACACCTGATTGTTGCGTAAAAGGATGCAACTGTTTCTGGGTTAACATTTATTCTTCAGGACAATTAAAAGAAGTAGAGATGTAAGATATACAAGTGTTTTATTAAATATTTATGTAAAAACTACGTGATGGGAGCACGAAATGATCAAACTGAAAATCTAATGTTGAAACAGGGAGGAGAAAAAAAAAAACCGGTCAAATCCATTGATCCCGTGCAGGATAATGGCTGTAATCTGCTGAGGGTTTGAATGAAAGGATCTGATTTACAGTAAATTAAGACGACAATCTCTTTTTGATAGAATGATCAGATTATCAAGGAGGATACAATGTTTTTGCATTAAGCATCAAATGTATTAATTTATGTATTTTAACTTTTAAATTCAATAATGGTCAGTCAGGTCATCTGGACAGTTTCTTTTTTGTAGAAAGAAGTTTCGCCCTCTATCCAGAGGGCTTCATCAGTCTGAGGAGTCCCAAGTAAACTGTTTTCCCCAAGAAGCAGTACACTCCAGTAGACCAACCAGTTTGCTGGTGATAGAATGGTTTCTGGGATTATGGATTAGAGGGTGTAACGTCTTTCCACAAAAAATAAACTGTCCAGATGACCTGAAGGACCATTATTGGATTTTGTACCTGGATGATTGAGCATGAACTTTGATGTCTTGAACCAGTTTGGCTGTGGCTGCCTGTCTGGGAGGAGTCGACGGGGGACAGGACAGCCCCCAGAAACCATTTTATCACCAGCAAACTGGTTGGTCCACTGAAGGAGTGTACTGCTTGGTGGGGAAACAGTTTACTTGGGACTCCTCAGACTAACGACGCCCTCCAGATAGAGGACGAAACGTCTTTCTACAAAAAAGAAACTGTCCAGATGACCTGACTGACCGTTATTGGGTTTTGTACCTGGGTGACTGAGCATGAACTTTGATTTAACTTTTAAACATTTTGAATAAAAACTGTTCTCGGTCACCAAACTGTATTTCTGCATGTTGTCATCCACCAGCGTTAAACACAAATAAAAAGCTGTGCTGCTTACTCTGACCGACTCTCAGCACCAGCTTCATGGATCTGGTCCGACACACCCCTCCGATGGTGTTATCCAGTCCCCTCAGAGAGCCCGTGGACGTGGCTGATGAACAAAAAGAGAGAACAGTTCAATGAGTTTATAATACGACAAAACTTCACCACACAGAATATCATCTCCATCTTCTACCGCCCATATGTGATTGGGACGTGATGGCAACAGGTCCAGGAGAGAAACCCAGACATTCCTCTCTCCAAAGACTTTCCAGCTTCTCCTGGGGGACCCCAAGGAGTTTCCAGGTCAGAGAGGGTATATAATCCCTCCAACAAGTTCTGAGCCTGCCCTGGGGTCTCATCCTAGTAGGACGTGTCTGAAAAACTTCCAAAGGGAGGTGTCCTAATCAAATGACCGAACCACCTCAACCGACTCCCTTCAATGCAGAGGAGCAGCGGCTCTACTGGTTCCCAGAGTTATGGTCTAACGGTTCTGTGCCTCACAAACCTGAGTTGAGGGTCTTGTGATGCTCGCAAGAAATCTTTAAAATGAACCCTTTAACATATTTTTACTATAATTGTTTAAAAAATAAAGAACTAAATAGAAAAAAAGATGTAAATTATAGGTTTGGGCAAGGTTTGTGTTATTCAGTCAGAGGTATTTGGGGTCCTCAGTTCAAAACTGGAACTGCAGAAAGGACTAGAGACCAGAAGTTGAAGCCACCATAGACAAGTGCCCCCTAGTGGATGGTTTTGATACATTTTGAAGTCCCGCCCTCTGCATGTACATGAACTAAACAAAAAAGAAAACAAAAAAATAATTCAGATAACTTTTCCCGGTGTTGTTTTTGTTGTAGCTCTAATCGTGTTGCAATGCTTAGGAGAGCAAAGCCAAAAAGGGATCATTGTCATCCTAAAGGTATATACACACACACACACATACATATATATATATATATATATACACACATTATACATTATATATATATATATATATATATATACAGGCAGCACGGTGGTGCAACTGGAAGAGCTGCCTCTCAGCGAGCAGGTCCTTGGTTCAAACCCCGGTCCGGGGGCCTTTCTGGGTGGAGTTTGCATGTTCTCTCCGTGCATGCGTGGGTTTTCTCCGGGTGCTCCGGTTTCCTCCCACAGACCAAAAACATGCATGTTAGGCTGATTGGTAACTCTAAATTGTCCCTAGGTGTGAGTGAGAGAGTGAATGGTTGTTTGTCGCGTTTGTCTCTATGTGTCCCTGTGATGGACTTGTGACCCGTCCAGGGTGTACCCCGCCCCTTGCACAGTGATTGCTGGACATGGGCACCAGCGAACCCCGTGACCCAAAAAGGAATAAGTGGGTAAAGATAATGGATGGTTGGATGAATGGATTAATAAAGTATGTATCTATCTATCTATCTATCTATCTATCTATCTATCTATCTATCTATCT